GAAGGCTGATAAACTAGGCAAAGGGGATCAGGAGGTAAAAACTTCTAAAAAATAAATTAGTCGTGGAGATAAAAAGCACAGCCTAATCTTACTACGCTGATGGACAGTGACTGTAATGGGATATGTGGGGGGGACTGGATAATAGGGGGAGTCTAGTAACCTCCCCCTATAATGTTGTTCAAGTACTTGTACATTAAATATCAAAAAAAAAGCGTAGGGAATATAGTCAATAATGTTGTAATAACTTTGTAGATGACAGATGGTAACTAGACCTAACAGCAATCATTCCATAATGTCTGTAAAGGTAGTATCACTATGTTGTACACCTGAAACTAAGTATATTGATGGCTGGACGGTATATTTGTATTACAAATATATTTTGCCAGCTTGATGGTTCCCTTTAAATAGTGTTTGTGGTGGTGTTGCCCTTCAGAAACTTCAAATTTATTTCGAGTCAAACCGGATCTTTTCCTTAATGATTGATGACTTTCAGGATCACAGTTGAACGGACTTCCCTAATCACAGATCGTATGTTAATTTGTATTTTTGTTGTCATCACAGTTTTATGGTTTTATTTTCCTAAAGTTTTCAGTTCATTGGGCGTTTATTCTGGTGTGAGGTTTGAGTCTGGGAAACTAACTGGATTTTTTTGTATCAAAGGAAGTTTATCTGCAATGTAGCACAGAGAAGGCAAATAGTGACTCTGTGGCATCTTACTAAACTGATGGACAGTGACTGCATTGGGGCATGGGGGGGACTTGATAATATGGGTTAATGTAGTAACCACATTGTTTTTTCATGTGAAACCTTCATAAGAGTGTATATCAATAATACCTTAATAAAAAATTTTTTAAAAAAAGAAAGTTTATCTAGATGTGACCCTGGAGATGGGTGGGGGCTCTGAGGGCCAGAGGGCTTATCTGTGACTGTGTGAACTCTCCGTCCCTGCCAGGCTTTGGAGACCCGGGCCAGCCCCGGCCACACCCCGGGCTGTGTCACCTTCGTCCTGAATGACCACAGCATGGCTTTCACTGGAGACGCCCTGCTCATCCGAGGGTGTGGACGGACAGACTTCCAGCAAGGTCACTGGCCCCCTCTCCAGCCTGAGGTCTTCTTATAGTTTTGTGGGTGCCAGGGTTTTAAGTACCAGTTGCAAGAATGAATGAATGGTTGTTAGACTTTTAAGGGGTCAGGATTACATTCAGGGGTTTAGCTGCTGGAGTGGAAGACAGTTAGATTCAGGGGTTACCTGATGAGGGAATAGTTAGATCGAGGGGTTTTTAGCTGTTAGGGGACAGTAAGGTTCAGGGGTGTGACTTATCACTGTGAAACAAGTTACCCCACAACTTAGTGGCTTAGAACAATGATTAACATTTCTTATAGAGTTTTGAGAGTCAGGACTCTGGGAGGAGGTTACCTGGACAGCTCTCACCCAGGTCTCTCGTGAGGTCACACATCTACCTGTCCACCTGGGCTGCAAGTCATCTGAAAGCCTGGCTGAGGCTTAGCGCCTGCTTCCTAAGGTGCCTCACTCCTGTGGCGGGTAAGCAGGTGCTAGTTGTTGGCAGGAGGCCTCAGTTCCTCACCACGTGGACCTTCCCAGGGGTCTGCTTGAGGCTTCACAATGTAGCAGCCGAACTCTCCCAGGGGGAGTGACCAGAGAGGGAGACACACAGACACCCCAATCATTTTGTCTCAGAAATTAAACTGTCATTTCTGCACTATCCTTATTTATTAGATGCAAGTCACTTAGTTCAGACCAAGTCAAGGTGAGAAGAATTAAATATTTGAAAAAAAGAAGAGTGTCGAGAGTTTGTGGACAAATTTAAAATTCCATAAAGGATTTAGCTGCTAGAGGTGTGGCATGGGGAGGGATGTGGAGTTCCATTCAGGAGCTGAAGTGCTAGGAGATTGTTAGTGTCAGTGGTTTAATTTGCTAGGGGGCAGTGTAATATTCGGGGTTTATCTGCTGGGGACAGTTAGAAGGGAAGGGAATTTAGTTTTAGAACCTAAGGGTTTAGCTGCCCTTCGAGTGTGTGTGTGAACTTGAGGTTGACACTAGATGGGGAGGATTTAGCTGCCTTGCAGGAGGAGGGCGAGGCTGGATGAGACAGGAAAGACAGTGTGATGAGCTGGCAGGGGGGAACCAGCTCTCCAGCCTGCCTCTCACTTCCTCTTCCTCTCTCCTTATCTCTCCATCTTTGTCTCTTTTTCTCTCTGAGGCTCCTAATGTCCCCTTTTTCTACTCCCAACACAGTCATGGAATGGAAAGATATAGGCTGAAATGAAAGTTGGAAGAACATTCCAGAGAGGTTTGCCCTTGCCCAGAACCCTTTCTTGGCATCGCCAGAGTGATGGAACAACTCAGTGCTCCAGAGTCTCACCCCACCCTTACTTACAGCCATGTTGAATCACTCACCATTCCCTTTGTACATGCTGTTCCACCCGCTAGAATGCCCTTCCCTCTCCTCTGCCTTTACAAAGTAGGTACTGGCAGGAAATGAGGGAGAAGGTTTAGCTAGTGATTTTATTTCCTGAGAATGGGGGTTAGAGAGCTTCTCTTGTCCTACTGATCCAGTGACCTCTGAGTTTTCCCTCCCCAGGCTGTGCTAAGACCTTGTACCACTCCATCCATGAAAAGATCTTCACGCTTCCAGGAGACTGTCTGATCTACCCTGCTCATGATTACCACGGTAAGGACTTCCTGGAGGAGAATGTGGGATTTACATGATTTCCTATTGGAGAGGGAACACCAAACTGCTGTAATCCTCATGGGGCATGGAGACTACAATTCCCAGAAATTCCTCTGGCCAAAAAGATCATGTGCTTAGGTGGCCTGAGTATGGATGTAGAAACTACCACTCCTTGGATTCTGAGAGCATGGGATTTCCTGGGACTGCCTTACAGAGCTTAGGGGAACTGTGGGAAACTACATTTCCTATAGTGCCCCTGGAGGAGGGAAAGCAATCTCAGCAACATTCTGGGAGAAGCTTGTTAGTCCCAAACTAGAGGTTACCCCAAAGCCTCCTGGGAAATGTAGTCCTGGGGGGGCCTGACACGGGGCCGGTTGATATTCCTCCACCTCACCTGGCCACTAGGGCTCACAATGTCCACTGTGGAGGAGGAGCGGACTCTGAACCCTCGGCTCACCCTCAGCTGTGAGGAGTTTGTCAAGGTCATGGACAACCTGAACTTGCCCAAGCCTCAGCAGATAGGTGAGCAAGGAGTTGGGAGTCTGGACTTCTGGTCTGAGGGAGGAGGGGCTGGGGGCTGGGCTCCTGGGTCTGGGGGAGGAAGGGCCGGGGGCCTGGACCCCTGGGTCTGAGGGAGGAGGGGCC